GGCTGAGTAGAAATGTCTAAAGCCCCCCTAAAAATGGCCTAGTGACGCCCATGCTGGTGGTCATATACAAACGGTGCGAAGACGTGTTGGGCGACATTTTGATTTATTAATAAAAAGAAAAATACTGCTACGGACAAACAAAGAGACAGACGGCAAGCCATAGACACTGGCGCCATCTTTGTTCAATCAATTAATTCTTATATAACAGGACAGATGAACCACTTCTTTTTGATGGACTGACTATTCATCGCACAAGATGCAAAAGTGTCTGCCTTTGTTGAACAAATCCGAAGCCAGACGATGTGTAAGGACTTACTTTTAACTTCTTTTGGGTTTACATGTTACATATTGTTTCTTCTTTTAGAGGACTGGTCATGATGTCTGTGGGCATGCAACCTTCACAGCAGGTAAAGAAACATCACAAAAGTCCAGGGCCAAGGTGGATGAGGAGGGCCTTGAAATAGCTGTGTGCTGACATGGAATCTTGCTGCAAGGCTTAAACCACTACCGTGGTGAAATATATGCCTACCCAATGTTCCTCCAGAAGGAGCTGACACAAGCTGCAAATACAACATTCTTGGACATTGCTTGCAGGTAAATAACCATTGATAACTGAAGTAATAAATGATAAGGAAAGACAAAACATGTCAACTGTGTTATCAGTTTACTATTACAGCTTAGTCCAGCATATAGAAGGCAACATTAGCATGCACGTGACTACATAGTGTTTTTTGATTAGTTACAGGAATTGTAAAAGTCTTATATTCAGGGTTGTCTTCTTACTGTTTTGCTGCTATGCACACCAGATACAGTAAGTGTTTTTCCCATTACAGGTATAGGCCATATTTGGAAAAGATGGCAGAGAAGTTACCTGAGCTGCAACCACTTACAGTGGTGAAGCCTTTTTTCTCTGTAATGCATGCCAAGGCTCACACTGGCAAATGTGATGTACAGTGTAAGAGTTAAATGTTTGTCACAAGATGTTTTTTAGGAACATGTTCCTACAACACAGGAAAAATGGAGCTAGCTTTTTATCTTTTTATCTAGCTTTTTACATTAGTGAAATCCTTTAGTGAATCTATGTAAATATTATATAAAACTAATTGTAACATTACAGTTAGTAAGAAATAACTGGTACAAAAACAGCAGGAGTATCTGCAGAATATGCTTCCCAAAGCCCTTCCAACTGCAGTTGTGAAAGCTTTGCATTCATTGGAGTACTACCTGTGAACACAATTGGCTCCTGACACCACATTTAATTTGAGAATTTGCAGTCCAATAAATAAGATGTTAATGATAAATGACTTAATGTTATGTTTTGGAGCAGGTTAGGTGGGGTGGTAGAAGCCAGGGCCCGTATTCTTAAAGATTCTAAGAATCCTCTTAGAGAGCTCCTAATTTAGCTAAAAAATTTCTACGTAGGAGTCTTGGCTTAAGAACAATTCAGGACCAATCTGAGAGCAACTCTGAGCGAGGAAAAGACAAAAACTTTCATCTTTGGTGAGGAGGTGGGGCTGACCCAGTTGCTACGTATCAATTGTGCTCCTTCCTGCAAAAAAATGATCTCTATGAAGAATTTCATAGCACAGAAACTGCACTTGTTAAAATTACAAATGACTTGCTTCTTGCGTCAGACCAAGGCTGCATCTCATTGCTAGTGAAACTTCATTTGCTGTAAAGTTGCTTTGCAACAATTTGTGTCATGAAAGGCGCTATACAAATAAACTTGAAAATAGTGTTAGGATGTACTCACACTAGGCACGGTTGCCTTGAACTGAGCCCGAGCACGACATTTCCTGTTCATCAATAAGGTAAGAACCAGAGCCATTATAAACCTAAATATACTTGATTAAATTAAATTAATTGAAAAGTGTAGTGTAGTAGTAGTAGTAATAGAATATGTTTGCGGTCGTAATGATGACAGTAGCGCACACAAAATAGTATCTGTTCCGTGCTCCGGCGTGGTTAGCACTCACACCATGCGTAGCGCGCCCGAGCCCAACCGAACCAGCGCTCACACTAGACAAACGAACCGGGCTTTGGGGGTCAAACATGCTTGGGCATGGTTCAAAACACCTAGTGTGAGTACACCCTTGGAGGCATTTTTTTTTTTTTAATTGTATAATTAAAAATAAAAAACTCTAGCTTCTCTAATCTTTTTGTATTCTATGTATTCGTTTTTTTTTGTTTTTTTTTTAAGAAAACAAGCAGTTAGTAAATTATTAGAGTGCAAGTCTAAAAGGGGCAAGTTTTTTTTTTTTTTAGAATAGGATTATAATAGAGAGTGCTAGAGAGTGCTAGAGCTAGAGAGTGCTAGAGTTAGAGGGTCAAATAAAGATTGAAGAAATGTGTTTTTAGCCAATTCTTGAAGATGGACTCAGGACTCAGCTGCTCAGACTGAGTTGGGCAGGTCATTCCACCAGGAGGGAACATTTAATTTAAAAGCCGTGAAAGTGATTTTGTGCCTCTTTGGGATGAACAAAGCGACGTTCACTTGCAGAATGCAAGCTTCTAGAGGGCACATATGTCTGAAGTAATACATTTAGGTAAAGGGGTGCAGTCTGGCCCGGATTAAGAACACATAGGCTACTATGGGGGCCTTCGGTTTTGCTATAACCCCAGGGCCCTATCTTGGTACCACAACGTTTTCTACCACAGGAATAATTTGTTTTTGTTTTTAAATCACATCTTCAACACACAGAGATACAATGAGTATGCACACTACATATTCCAGGCTACAGCACATTAAAAGAATATATACATTATATGAAGTCAAGGCAAACAGGTTTCCAGAAGCAGCAACAACTGTTAAGCACATACAGCTCCCTTAAGGAGTTTACGTTAAATAGTTTTATTATTAGAAGGTCTTCTTTCTGGCCCTAGAAGAGGAGAATCATCAGGGCTGGACTGGTGCTAAAATTCAGCCCATCTGGCCCACACAGTCCCTCATAAATGTTTGCTGGGGTTAGGGCAATTGGAATAAATAAATAATTTATTAATAAATAACAGACGAAAACAAATGATATTTTGAATACTTAAAATGCATTTAACAATATTAATATTCCATTACATTGCAGGCTCTTAATTATTTAAATCATATTTTTCTGCAATTAAAGTTTATTAGAACTATTAAATTCTCCTTTGTAGTTGCCCTAATGAAAAGCTATTTCATGATTCCAGAGTTAACTAGTAAACCTTTATAAAAGTGACTTATAGCCTTTATTTAACCAAATATTTAATAGGCTATAAGTAATAATGCCATATTTCTACAGTGTCAGTAACTGTTAAATAGCTTAGGTGTGGTGCTGTGGATTAAATTGCTTATTGTAGCTTCACCACGGAGACTTTGCAGTAGGTGGAGATAACAGCGCATGCAAGATTCTGTCCCACGCCCGCCCGCTCCCGCAGAAATATATCTTATCTGGTCCCGTTCCCGTCCACGACATTCATGTTTTGTCCTGCTCCCGCCCGCAAAAGCCCGCATAAAAGTAATCTATATAGATTTTTTTCAGTACATCGAAGAAACTTACATGAAATGCTTCTGTAACATCTCCTAAGCTCCAAAACATACCAGCATAAACGCTCCCAATAAAATATTTGTTATTTAGGCTAAGCATCAACATTCACAATCACAAACCACTGTTAACAGAAAAGCAAGCATGTGCTGCTGCGCATGGTTTGGCATGGCAGAATGCGAGCAGCGCGCTTCCTTTATTATCACTAAAAGCTGACATCTCAGTTAATCGCGATCTCGTAAAGCTCTGTTATAACACATTAAATATATGCACAATGAATCTTTCACAGTGTCTACACTTCGTGTGTTAAAATGAGAGGATTCGTGAGCACGCAATTTCAGCACTGCGGTGAGTAGATTCTAACTTAATCATCTCTGATTGGCCATTGCGTTCCAGAAATCAACAGCTGAGTCTGTGATTGGCTACATTGCGCAACCCTTTAAACACGTGTTATAAATAGAAACTATGCCTAGCTTGCACATGTCAATCATTTTAATGTTAATATTAATTGTTCTTTTTGCTTTTGTGCAACAGATAAATAATTTATGTTTTAGACACTTCATGTTTAGATAATTCCTATTTTGCGGAAGTCCCGCTAATCATTTTATTCTCCCGTATCCCGCACTTGCCCATCAAGAGTTGTCCCACGCCGCACCCTGTAGCGTTGGGTACCGCGGGTCTCTAGCCGCAACTCTAGTGTAAACGAGTACAAAGACTTTTGGACTGAAATAGCGCAGACACTAATATGTGGGGGCGTGGTGGGATTTCGGCAATCGGCCAAAAAGCTTGGGTGCACCCGATGACCAATCCGTTCTAGGTCTACTTTTCCTTTCCTCCACAGCACAGCCAATCACGTCGGGTCCCCTCAATCCACGGGCCCTGAGGCTTCAGCCCCGCCTAGCCCTTATATTAATCCGGCCCTGGGTGCAGAGCCAGTGGTGGTTTTATAGGCAAACATTAATTACTTACATTTTATGCGAGCAGCTATTGGTAGCCAGTGCAAATTGATAAACAGAGGTGTGACGTGCATTCTCTTTGGTTCAATCAAAATTAATCTTGCTGCCGTGTTCTGGATTAATTGTAAAGGTTTGATAGAACTGGCTGGAAGACCTGCCAAGAGGTCAAACTTCTTGTTCTACTTGAACAAGAAGTTGTGAAGCATGTTCCGAAAGAAAGGGCCTGATCTTCTTGATGTTGAATAAAGCAAATCTGCAGGACCGGGCAGTTTTAGAAATGTGGTCTTAGAAAGTCTTTTAGACAAGCTGAGATGCGAGCAGCTATTGTTGGATCATCAGAATGGAATGAGAGATAGAGTTTAGTGTCATCAGCATGGCAGTGATATGAAAAGCCATGTCTTTGAATGACAGAACCTAGTGATGCCATGTAGACAGAAGAGAAGTGGTCCAAGAACTGAGCCCTGAGGCACCCCAGTAATGCCACCATTATTGTGGTCAGTGTTTGCTTTAGTTTGTCTCTTGACCCTTTTAGGAATTCAAAGTAATCTGCTTTTAAGCAAATGCAATATTGTTTCACAGCAAACATTTGTGCATTGCTGAATCAAACCTTGAAGTAGCAGATGAGCTTGCTTTCTGCCTGTAACTCATGATTAATGGTCATCATGAAGTGGTCTCTCTTTGGTTTATTGACGGACATTCGGCTAATACAGAAGAGCAATAAAAAAAAAAATCAGATTTAACAAATGCCACTGTAATGCTTCAATATTGAAAAAAAGAGAGAGAACTTTATTGGCTCAGGCTTTTAGACATGAACACTTATCATATGATCCTCAACAGCGGTGACAATAATGTTTCATACTGCAGTGCATGATGGGAGTTTTTACTATGGTGTTACCCAGCATGCATTGCAGCATGAAACAGTTTGTTGATTGTCACCATTGTTGAGATTCATATGCTGGTTATTGATGTCTGTGTGTGTCTAAATAGTACAAGAGCTCAAATATTTATGTTATATCATTTCACATGGGTTATTTTTATTCACAATAACTATTAGAACAATACATTGTTTGCATGCTGTAGTTTTACAGAGTTAATTATGCCAAACCTAAACATATACATGAAAAAGAGTTATTTTGATTGTGATCAGGCCAGCTCATGATGACCACCTCATCATACAAAACAGCTATTATCTCATCACTGTACAGCACGAACATCACTGTTTTACAACACCTCATGCATCGCTACACAGAGAGATCTAACACAGAAGTCAAGGGTCAAGAGCCCAACTAAAGCAAACACTGATCTCCATGATGGTGCCATAATTTTAACCAATAAAACATCAACATCTGATCCTCTGTAATTCTCAATAACAGCAGCTGTTCATCACTAATGCACAATCATCATTTAATTAGTCACTTAATTATCTCATTAACTTTAACTCTTTGAGGACTTGGCATTTGACTCCACGCAGACCACAGGGTGAGCACCCCCTGCTGGCCTCACTAACGCCTCTTCCAGCAGCAACCTAGTTTTCCCAGGAGGTCTCCCATCCAGGTACTGACCAGGCTCAGCCCTGCTTAGCTTCAGTGGGCAACCAGTCTTGGGCTACATGGTGATATGGCTGCCGGCTGTTGTTGGACTTGGACACCCCACTTCTCCAAGATACCTTGAAGGACCTATCTGAGAGGTAAGAATCAAACCACTGGAGTGCGGTTCCTGAGATGCCCTTTGCCAATAGGGTTGACAGGAGAATCTGGTGGTTAACCATGTCAAAAGCAGTGGACAGATCCAGCAAGATAAGTATTGAAGATTTGGAATCCGCTCTTGCCAGTCTTAGGGCTTCAACAACTGAGTCTCAGTTGAATGTCCACTTCTGAAACCAGACTGGTTGCTGTCAAGGAAGTTGTACTGTGTGAGAAAGGCAGAAACTTCATTGAACACAGTAATTGCAAAAACACTTGAACGAGCTAAGTATATCATATAACAGCAGCAGCAGCAAGCGGTTTATCTAGTTAAGTATGTGAGAATACAACATCAAAGCGTCACAGATTTTAGAACAGTAAAGTGAATCGGGGAGTACCTATTACTCGTAACCTCCAAGGCTTTCAATATTTTCTATGGGCATTCTTACATTGTGTGCGAACGGGCTGATTTCAGATAGGATTTAAGTGGGATTGGTTTGCAGTTGGAGTTTCACAGCTTAATTCCATCCTAACTCAAGGTGAACCCATCAACTATCTTCCACAAACGTTCTACTGTCAACAGCCTTACTTTGAGCAACAGAAAATAATTTACCCGCATATAAGTGAACTTGTGGTGCACATGCGATGCAGACAGTCACAAGAGAGCGCTCACTCTTAAAGGGGCCACATCTTTAGTTCAGTGATAGTTAAGAGTTTATGAAAAATGATGTTTAGTGATAGTCAGATAATTACAAATTAGTTTAATATATAAAGATAAGAAAAAAAAGGTAAGAAGATATTACGATGATATTTATTGAATGACAAAATTTAACTATTTGCTCTGGTCACCTAAGCCTGAGTCAGGTGGTTGCTGGGAGGGACCTCATCTATCAGCTTACAATGTGATTCCTGTTTGTAAAGACACACATAGTGCGCGTTTCTACCTAGGTAAGTTTGAGCTATATTGGCTCAGACACACAGTTTTTTAGGTCATTAGTTAAATAAACCTAAGGGTACAGCACCCAGGTTCACATTGCTAAGCCACTAGTTAATTTCTCTGGGTTTCACTAGCCCAGAAACACATTTAAGTCAAGTCATTAGTTTTACGCTATCTGGTCAACTGATCAGGTACACACATCTATAGTCCACTAGCATTATGCCATTCGGCAAAGCAGGCCCTGGCTCACATATGGCGCTTTTCCACTGCATGGTACGGCATGGTACGGCTCGGTACGGTTCACTTTTGGGGGGTTTTCCACTGGGTACAGTACCTGGTACTTTTTTTAGTACCACCTCGGTTGGGGTTCCAAGTGAACCGTACCGTTACCAAAACGTGACGTGTAAACTCTGCTGATCACGGATTGGCCGGAGAGAATCGTCACTACCTGCGTCACTGAACTTGCGACACAAACACAAAAGAACCGCTAGATTTAAATCAGCAGCCAGCGAAGGATCAAACGCAACCGTTTTGAATGAGCACACCTTTTTTTAACAACCAAAAAGTTTTGTTGTCTGTTGCAGAAGAACAGACGTTCCTCTCGTTGATAGCAGAGGAGCGGATCCAGCGAGAGCTTGATGGGGCGATGCGGAATTAAAAAGTTTTTTTTAGGAGTCGTGGTAGTAGAGGCGGCGCAACTATATCGACATGTGTATAATCCCACCCACTCTAAAGCGGTACTGAACTGCAGTGGAAACGCAAACCGTGTCAAGCCGAACCGTGCCGTGCCGAGCCGAGTCGTACCACGCAGTGGAAAAGCGCCAATAGATAGCAAACATGCGGTCTCATGGCTCTCCGGAGCAGCAGCAGTACATCTGTCTTGGCTATAGATCTGCTTTTTTGGCGGATTTTATCATTTCATTTCTCTCCTGCCTTTTGGGGACGCTTTCAAGCACATTATTGTATATGAGCAGTACGTTTTCTTGCTGTCAGCAGCATACACATTTTAGCTGTTGTTTATCTTCTCATTCCAGCTTTGTTGGGGGTTATCTTATATGCTATTTGTGCAGTAGCAGTATGTCTTAAATACTCAGAGCACCATATCAGCTTATGTATTGGCAGTAGCAAGTTCCTGTACTTGCTTTCAGCAGCAGCAATAATCTACAGCAGCAGCAATTCAGCAGCAGCAGCGAAGCAGATCTATTCCGCCAAGACCAAATACATTAACATTGTCATATCCATTACATGCTAAAATCTTCTGAGAGTTCTTATGATATAAATTATTGACATGTATTTATGAATTTAGTCATGATGTTTTATCAAATTGTAATTATTATTTTTCAAGGATAATTCTAGTGATGTACAAGATGACTTAGAAGATAATGACACAACACAAGCAAAAGTAAGTGAACATTGAAAATACTAATATCAAATCAAACACTTCATGACTACATTTAAAAATGATATTGGAGATGACATGCTATTACTAATATCAAATCAAACACTTCATGACTACATTTAAAAATGATATTGGAGATGACATGCTATGTTTACATTAAAATACAGGGTCCACCATCCACTGGCTCCAGTGATGACAAGGATGAGCAGCTTTGTTGTGTCTGAAGATGGCCCAATAGCCCAGAAAAGCCCATGGCACAGTTCAGTCAATGCAAAGACTGGTTTTACCCAACATGTGTTGGATGTTAGGATATTGCTGTTATTTCACCCTGGTTCTGTCCTAACTGCACAACAAGACAGACATAAAAAACAAAACTGAAGAAGACTAAGCTTTCCTCTATACAACAAAGGAACAATGATACTGTTTCAGTGCTACAAAAAATTTTGGGGAAAAATATAAAAGAATGGATATCAATTCATTGCTGGATTGTCTGAAAATATAAGAATCGCAGGACTTAGACCATGAGTTTACACCTCTGAAACACCAATACAGTACCTGCAGTACATTGCAATTTCACCCTTTACATTACTTATGTACACCACTGAACAGCTCCAACTCACAAGAGATTTACAAAAGGACACAAACCTTTTATTGTACCTAGATGCCACTGGAAGTGTTGTTACAAAACCCCCAAGTTGTAAAAATGTTTTGTATTATGTACTTTGCTGCCCGGTTCTGTCAACTTCTGCAACAACTATTCCTGTAGCAGAGAGCTAACCGTTGTTCATGTGAACTCAAAGACAGCCTGATGCTTTGTATATAGACTATTTGTGGGTGGCTGTTTGTTGTTTAACCTATCAATATCGACTAAAGTATAATAGGGTAAATCCTGTATAGTGACTTATCCTATATAGTGCTTGCATAAAGCAAGTAGTGCATACAAAGATACATAACAGCTAAATTACAAGTGTAAGTCATTGTAAGCCCCTTTTGAGGCACGAATCCCCCCCGTTATATATATAAAAAAAAAACAAGTGGGCTCCCCCAAAGACCACGGTATAGTTCGAACACTGACTAAACATAAGCAAATTACTAAATTAACTAATCTGAAGTCTAGGAAGCACTATTACGTCTAAGCTTCCGTCACTAATTTCAACAAGTATCTTAATATCCATACCGTAATAATAACAGTAAAACCAATACTCAACTGGTCCACGAGATTTTATCCAGATGGCTCTTCCATCTCATTTATCAGTCGGTCCACTTGATCGTTAAACCTTGCTCGTAAATCTGATAAACAGGAATGAATATGACGGTCAGACCTTCTTTCACTTATGGGCGCCAACACAGCCTTGAAAGTGGCGTTGTTTTCTCTACATCACGTTAGTGATTGGTCAAATTGTAAGGCATGTGATGGTACGCATATTTGCATACGTCATTTTGGAAACGTTTAATTGGTAGATTCCTTTATACAATTCCAACAAATTTGTTCTATGCAGCATTTAGGATAGACATATGATGTCTATGGCATTTAGTGTAACATGGCACGTATGAATTTTCTTCAGCACTGTAAGAATGTGTACAGATTATTCAATCTGGCAGTTTCGATAAGGATGTACAATTATCCAGGTGAGTGTTTTTAAATGTGTGAAAACGATGACGTTCCACTGTAAAATATTTTTTAATGAAATATCTTCAATGTCCTGTAATTAAAGATCCACTTATTTAGTGACTTTATGCTTTTTAAATGTAATTTAAGACTACATAGCCTATTTAAATGTGTATATTTGTCAATTTCAGCGTTAATTTTATAAATTGGTATAAGCAAATTACACAGTTTATGTCATTTTATTATTATTATTGTTACGTTGACAGTTAAAAATCATGACAGCAGTGGCCAGTAGATGCTGCAATGCTATAACATTGGTAATTTCTTGCAGCAGTGCCATTATGCTCAATTATTGTTACAGAAGAAAACTTAATGCTAATGCTGCTACAAAATAAATGAGCTCACTGCCGTACAATTTTTAATTCTCAACTATTCTTTGTTAATGTTTTTTTATTTCAAATAAATTTCAAGTGTCAGTGTTTTGCATCATTGTCACATTATGTTTACAGCTATGTGTATTTTTGTGTGTATAAGTGCATGCTTGTGTTATGTTTATAATCACGATTTCTGATTGTTTTCTTTAGAATTGAGGACCTGAAAAGAAGTCTGACATGGGCCCAAGGTCAATTGTTAAGTCCAGCCGACACAGATGCATTGCAACAACTGCTTGCAGAACTTACCCAAGAGGTCCATAATTTGACCAATGATGTTCAGGAAGGTAACCTAGTGATAATGTTATGTAATGAAACAGTAACATTTACATTTGGCAGACATTTTTATTGAAAGGGACACAGTGCATTCAGTCTATACATATCTCTTGTCGTCAGTATGTGACTTCTCTAAATTGAGAACATGACATTTTAATCTATTATCTCTGATTAGTCTGAAATGTATATATTTCTAGATATTTTATTGTGTTTTTTAGGGTCAAGCATCAATCAAGCCCCAAGAGCAGATGGTGCTTCACTATACTCGATTTCTCAAGACCAACTACAGTTTTTGGTATCTTGCAATTTTACTGTTGCAGAGATGGCAAGCATTCTGCATGTGTCTTAGTCAACAGTAAAACGACGTTTAAGGCAAGTGCATGTCATAATTAATAAAAACAAGTTCTTGTGATTATGTTTTTAATTTCATTCTTCATGTGCTACTTTATTGTGTTCAGTTAATGCTTCAATCAAGTTTATTTTTTGTAGGAAATTCAACTTACAACGCACAAAATGATATACACAGCTAACTGACTTGCTGACTTGCTAACAGCTTCATGACTTAGTAAAGGAGATTGTGGGACGTAACTGGCAGATTGGACCAGAATCTGTAAGAGCACGTTTATTTGGTCAAGGTGTCTTAGTGCAAAGACACAGAGTACGGGCAAGTGTTCTTCGCACTGATCCTGCTGCTGCTGCTCAGAGAGCCCTGACACAAAGGCTGTACAGGCGGGCCTATCATGTTGCAGGTCCAAACTCACTTTGGCATGTAGATGGAAACCATAAACTCATAAGGTATGCAAACTAGTTTTGCTGAAGTCTTAAAAGGAATCTATTTCTTCTTTTACCTTTAATGTGTAATATAGCTGTGCAAATGGGAGTTTGTAGTATTTTTATTACTTTTAAAATACTACAAAACTTATACTCTTTTAGAACGTATAAAAAATATATACTTAAAACTAAATAAGAAACTGTGCAGGCCTAACTTTTGGTTAATTATACATACTCATTATGTTCTTTTTAATTTGTTATCCTTCTGTTGATTTGGGTCCCTTAAAGTGTAATCTTGTAAGTTGTAACCATAAACAAAGTGTTTGAACCAAAGAAGATAACCCATGCCATTTGACAATGAGATCATATGTGACCCTGCATTTGAAATCCAGGCTAAAGTCTAAAAATCTACTTGTGAGATAATGAGCATCAAAGTTTGATTTCAATCATTAATTTCACTATTGTTTTAATCGTTGACATGGTCTTAGTCAGTATTTCAGATATCAATGTTATCACAGAATGTTTACATTATGTAGGATGATTTTATGTAGAAAACAGTAAATCACCAAATAATGCTTTTAGCTGGGTTTAGCAGGGTCACATTTGGTTAACGCTTGTAAAAAAAAAAAAAAATCATATCTGCAAGTGACATTAATAAGTATAGTGGGCTCCTTAAATTTCATACTGAAATATGGTATTACATATAAGCCTGATGTATAACTGCATTAATACTTGTTTTAGGTGGAGAATCGTAATTCATGGGGGGATTGACGGGTTCAGTCGACTCATCGTGATGCTCCAGGCATCGACAAATAATCGCAGCACAACAGTCATGGAGCTCTTTTTGTAGGCTGTTCAAAAGTATGGTGTTCCCTCTCGTGTCCGATGTGACCATGGTGGTGAAAACAACTTCATCTGTGCATTTATGGAGCTCTACAGAGGTTTCAGAAGAGGCGGTGCTATAAGGGGAAGCAGCACACACAACCAACGAATAGAGAGACTTTGGGGGGATCTTTGGAAGGGGATTACGAACACATACTATGACTTGTTTTCATTTCTTGAGGAAGAGAACATTATCGACATAAATAATGAGATGCACCTCTGGGCTTTACACTTCGTGTACATCCCCCGAATTATTAGAGACCTTCGCCTGTTTGCTGCACAGTGGAACAACCATGGACTCAGAACAGAGAGACGCCAAACACAGTGTCAAATTTTTGTTCGAGGCTGCCTGAGTTTGCAGAACTCATCGCTGACTGCAATTTGGGATATTTTTGCAACCCCAACTGAGCCTTTGGCTTCAAGTACTAGCCCAGCCACAGGTCAGTCATTTCGAGCTTCTTCAGAGGCACAGTCTCTGTTCCGGTGGCAGGAAAGAGTGCATGTTCCTGATACACTGTTTGAACTTGAGCAAAATCGTTTGCTGCAACTTGTTGAACAATGTGACCCTCTTGGTGAGGACAGAGGTTTGCTGGGAATACCCATACTCCAAAGAGTTCTGGCTTTCCTGAGGCAATAATACATGCATGGCAAAATTTGTCATAATGTCTTTGAAGACATGTCCTTATCCCTTTCATGTTTTATTTATTTTTTTATATTTTTTTCCCCCAGTATTTCTATTGTTTCTCTGGGTAGAAATTGTTGTTCTGCAGTTTTATACAGCAGTTTATTTATCATGCTAGGTGTGATTAATTAATTGTAACCTGACTTGTCCATACTTTATTTTTATGTTATTAACATTGTATGTTGTATTACTTCAATTTAAGTCTCTCAAATGCTTAATATATTTACAGCTTAACGAGCTGTAGCCAAGATGAATTATTCAACTGAGGAAAAGAGAAGACTCTTTGTTTGTTTACTTGTTATTGGGATAATTTAACCAAACTGTTATCAAGGCTGTAATCTTAAAACTATTGAGCGCAAATAGTTTGCTTTGTTGACCAGAAGATAATTAACTCCGCCTACCAGCATCCGAATAGATCTGGAATAGAGAAAGTGTAAAACTGATCCATCTAAAACAGCTGATCATGTGGCATCGAGCGTAAAACGGCGTCACAGATAGTTTGGAGCATTTTGACTCGAAGCCGTCTTTGGCCGAGCTCACTCTTCTACTTTTTCCAATCACGTATCAGACCGTAAAGGCATTTGTGTTCAGTAACATTAAGAAAATACTTGAATGTTTAAAAAAAAAAAAAAAAGCATAAAATTGGCCTAAAATTAAAAAGTAGTTGTAAAAAATGTGTTCCACTTATCTGCAACCTATATAAATACTTAAGGTTGGAATAAAAAAACAAAGACTTTTATCTAAAATAAAAAAATAAAATAGGATTAACAAATAAAGTTCCAAGGTCAACCCAAACAAGCCACTGCAACTGAAGGCATTTAGGAATTTTAGCCCTTTCAGTTGTTGCACAATCCTGGTACAAGTACCCTGTGAAGTAGCGTAAATAAAGCAACATTCGTGTTAAATGATTCGACAGATGTAACGCAAATCCTTTGCTAAAACATCCAAGTATTGTAGACAGGGACAACGGGTAAATACACTGAACAAAATTATAAACGCAACACTTTTGTTTTTGCCCCCATTTTTCATGAGCTGAACTCAAAGATCTAAGACTTTTTCTATGTACACAAAAGGCCTATTTCTCTCAAATATCGTTCACAAATCTGTCTAAATCTGTGTTAGTGAGCACTTCTCCTTTGCCGAGATAATCCATCCACCTCACAGGTGTGGCATATCAAGATGCTGATTAGACAGCATGATTATCGCACAGGTGTGCCTTAGGCTGGCCACAATAAAAGGTCACTCTAAAATGTGCAGTTTTATCACACAGCACAATGCCACAGATGTCGCAAGTTTTGAGGGAGCGTGCAATTGGCATGCTGACTGCAGGAATGTCCACCAGAGCTGTTACCCGTGAATTGAATGTTCATTTCTCTACCATAAGCCGTCTCCAAAGGCGTTTCAGAGAATTTGGCAGTACATCTTTACTGTGGACTGACTGTTTTGAAACTTATATGGTAGTTACATAGCCCCTAGACCTCAGTTATCGTGAAAAAAGCCTGGAAATTTCAGTTTTGACAATATGGGACCTTTAAGGTCTTTGGACCTTGCATTTAACTATGTAATACAGTTCATTGTTAATAACTTTGAAACATATCTATTGTAGCATAACTAAAATTGTTTAATGTTACACTTACACATAACAAGAGGGTAACAAGGGATCACTTTAAATTACAGCCCGCAAATGTTACACTTACACAGTAACTACACATAGGGATCACTTTAAATTACAGCCCGCAGATGTTACACTTACACAGTAACTACACATAAAATGAGGGTAACAAGGGATCACTTTATATTAAAGCCCGCAGATGTTACACTTACACAGTAACTACATATAACAAGGGTATATGTTTGCATAGTACTTAAGAAAAATGTTGCATTACATTTTATTCTACTTGCCTCAAACCACATACGGAAGCTCAAGTGTACCAACAGCACTACAGCTATCAAAAAACATCAATTATACAGTAGATATACTATGTTTGCACAGTAGTTAAGAAAAATGTTGTAGTACATTTTAATCTACTTGCCTCGAACCACATACGGAAGCCCAAAGTGCACCAACAGCACTACAGCTATCAAAAAACATCAGTTATACAGTAATTATACATGCGTTGTGTATTATGATGTTATATTTATATGTTATATTCTGGGAGCAACTGGAAACAGCTAATCTAGTTTTCCCACTGTATTGCACCTCGACAGTACAATGCTGCTGACGGACTCACTGCTGAGATGACCATATGCAATGCTCTTTCATCAGGTACATTTTCATATGGAAATTTCTAAACCAAATCATAGCAGAAACTCATTGCATCATTTCCCCATTCTTTATAATCTCCATGATCCCACATGAAACAGTATCAGTCATGTAAGATATATGTTGTAATAATACAATAAGTACCCAGTACATAGTGTATAAATATACTGCATCATATATTTTGTGTTATTACAATAAGGCAACTTCTAAATCATAATATTGTTTCCTAACACAGTAGGTCATGCATACCACATAATCTTAGAATAGTTACATTTACATTTAATAATTTAGCAGACGCTTTTATCCAAAGCGACTTACAAATGAGGACAATGGAAGCAATCAAAATCAACAAAAGAGCAATGATATACAAGTGCTATAACAAGTCTCATTTAGCTTAAAGCAGTTAAGAATAGAATAGTTACACCTTACTTATGAAATACTAACAGTATTAATACTTTTAATTTTCCAAGTAATTACCCCCTTATCCCCCAAACATTGCACATTGTTTCCGTTTACCTACACGTACGTAGTACAGCTGTAAGTTATGCTCACGCGGAAAATTTCGGTCTGTGTGTCATACATGCCACGTAAATTTCAGAATAGGTGCCCTTTAGTTATAAAATACTTACAGTATAAATCTATAGTTACAAATAGGTGCACTGCAAATTCTGTTTAATTACGCGGTACATTGCAGGCTGTAATCTAAAGCATTACCTATTAGTTTAGGTAATTTCAATACTTGTGAAAGTGTTACGTTAACACACATGTGGTGGTACCCATATTTACACTGACAAAAAGTGTTAGATTGAACTCTTGTTGTTAAATTTCTGGTTTCATATTTGTAGTGTGGGTTTTGGAGCAATGTCTGTAAAGATTTGCAAGTGCCAAATACTCTTACAAATTGCAGAAAAATAGTTCCGACATCTCTGCTTCCTTTGAAGGTAATTTATCATTTGTAGAGACTTCAACGAGTCTCTACAAACTACTAATTTATGTTTTTGACAACTTTCAAATACTTAGGATGGTCATTTGCCTCCATGCCACAAAGAAGAGGCTGAATGTCCATCTTTCAATCTGGTGACTTTTTATCTTTAATTTGCTTTTCATTTGTTGTACTTTGTGTAACTTAGACTTCATTTGATAAATGAGCCCACCCTCTCTGTCTTTCTAGGATGTGTGTGAGACAAAGGCTGACAGTGATGTAGTCTGTAGTCCTGTAACAGATAACCTGGAATCAGATTGTGCTTCCGTAAGTGAAACGGTTAACCATACTTATTCTATTAAATGTAAGAAATATTCAAACCATAATACAATGACCAGTGTAATAAAGTAAATACTTCTGCATGTCTGGATCAAGTCATTTATCCAGTGCATATTAATTGTAATGTGAGGAATATTAAATTTATTAGTTTTTTTCTGTTCCATGCTACAAAATTATTTGGTAAAATATATATATAAACAACAGTAAAAGGTATTGTAAAGATAAATAGTACTGTAGAAAAAGTGTTCTTATTTGTTATGTATTTAGGTCTGGGTTAGCATTCTCTGGGAAAATTACTTAACCTTTTCAACATAGTCAGTTGCTAATCACTTTGCTCTGTCCGTGAAGGCTTTAATGTTCCAAATCACATTAATTTAATTTGTAGTTTGGCTGTATCAACACATTAATATTAATATATGGAATGTCACCTAATAAACGGGAAAAGTAAAGACATAAATGATAGTTCAAAGTAGGGGCGCTCTGATTGATCGGCTGCCGATCACTATCGGCCGATAATCACGTTGGGATGATTGATTGGCGGTCTCTAAAAGGCCGATCTCAAGCTGATGACGCTGCCGTGAGAGATTTGGCACGACATGCAGTGGCACCGTCTCAGTCCGGCGCGGGTGAAGTAATTTTCACGAGTTCACACTTACATATAATTAAATAAAGGTTATGCGTATTTGGCGTGCTGTCCGGGGAGAGGGGTCCGAGCTCGGTGTCCAGCCTGGCCCAAAAGCGCTCCCCCAAAAGCAATTAGAACAGGACAGCAGCCAGATACGTGCATTTACGACCCCCCAAAAAGCAAGGCTTAATGTTAGAGGGGTGCTGGACATCCTTTGTTATACGTTTATTGCGGCAGTATCTAGGAAGAGAATTTGGAAGCGTTCATTGCTGAAAGAGAGAGATAAAGGCTCCTGCGGGAGACGCAACTATCGCGGCAGTAGAGAAAGCTAGAAAAGGCTCCTGCGGGAGCAGACACTGCTGCGGAAGTAGAGAAATACAGAAAAGGCTCCTGCGGGAGCAGACACTGCTGCGGAAGTAGAGAAATACAGAAAAGGCTCCTGCGGGAGCAGACACTGCTGCGGAAGTAGAGA